TAATCGCGGACAAACAATGTGACACGTAATTTTTATATAATATTAAGATAGGATTTAGCCTGCTAAAGAATGGGATAGAATACCATATACAGTGTTGCCTATTATCTAAGCCTCCTTTTTTGAAGATTCCACTGCACGTACATGTCTTTTTTATATTAAGGGTGACAAAGGAATAACACATAATCCCAGAATCACAGAAATGCGTAGAGGCATTATCGTGCTAAAGCAAGATCTATCTATGTATTTAGTGTCCTATTTTCAATAATGGATTTTAATTAAAATAATTTTAATTAAATTTAATTACAAATTAAACAATATTTTAATAATTTGCTGTCTTTATGATTTTTATCTTTTATCGTCTCTTGTATATTGTTTTGATAGATTTATGTTACGATTTTCGAAAAATGTCTTCATGTTATATTTTAAAGACGACTTGTGGTTGAAATTTATCCGACCGTATTTGGAAGTCGTATTTGTAAAAACAATTATGTTTTTTTTTGTTAAATTAATGGTAACCAACCAGCTAGTACACTTCACCTAATGGTAAGTGGGTTCATAATAGAAGTCCACATCTATCCATGCATTATGAATCAAAATTGTAAAGCGTTGTCACCCGTGGACTAACATAGAATATCACTATACCAGAGGTCTCCGGTTCTCGTCGCTCAACATACAAAATACTTGAGTAATAAATAATAAGAATAAAAAAGACATATTATAATGCAATTTTAAGCTGGAACTCTATACAAGCGTGGTACTTTTCTGGTAGAGTCCATTTGTTCTGTAGCTATACTACTTTTTAGGGTAACTGTGTGTACTTGTATATTACAAGTACTAAAAATTCATAAAAAAATCATTTCATACGATAAAAGTTTTACCTTTTTACAGAGAGTTTACTTACATAAGTAGCTCTACTTACTCCTAATAACAATTACGCAGATATTTGCTTTCTGTATGCTTTAGGTGTACTCGACATTAAATGAGAGCATCTTCAAAATTTATGCATCCACTTTGTTTGTGGTGTGCGGAAGTACGAACATGTTTCAGAAATTCGTGCTCGTAAATTATAATTAGAAGACTTCCAATATGCTAAGGACGCGACATGATAATAATAGTGCCTCTTCATATTTTTTTTAAAACACGTTATGTCCACACATTTTCTCTTGTGGCGGTTTACGTACATAAATTGCACAAGGACAAAAACATACATACCTGCTATATTTATTTTTGGCCATGCAATCACTTTTTCGTGTATTATTTGAACCCGCGGCCCTGTAGCGCTATTACCAAGCCAGATTAGCCACTGCGCTTCGGACCCGTCTATCTAATTATTATTTGTAAATTCTTTCTATCTTTTAGGAAAATTAGAGGAGTACCTTAAACTAGAAACAAAAAAGTTTTCAGCTTTTTTCCAGATAAGCTATAACCTAGATCCCTCCTTGCAGTGCTCCTTATCTGTTTGAAAAGTTTCATCATAATCGGTCCATCCATTCCGAAAAGTCACACTGGACAAAGAGATAGACAGTCAAAAACTTTAGAAACGGTAGTTTATGTCTTTATAGCATACAAATAACCCTCTGCATTTAATGGAGGCCGTTTATTTCAATGTAACAGACAGACTCTTGAATTTTAAAATTATTAATTATTAATGTCTTAATGACTTGCATATAATCCCCTTAGTTCAATATATTATGACAGTTATTTCTATATAACAGACAGACACTTCTATTTTATTTACATAGGTATTCTGTCAGAGCCACTTAGGGCGACTTGCGAGATATAGCTGGTAATAAAAACATTGTTATTTAACAAAATCTCTATGCAAAGTTCTTTTGAAAACTAAGGTTTTTATTTTTTTATTTATTACTAATTCTTTATCACGTCATCATTACACTATATTATGATCATAACGCTACAGTAAAATTTGCATTAAATTACTTCATACTATATTCCAATATATATAATGTTTTTTTTTTAATAGGTAATGGTGACAAACAAGCACACAGTCCATCTGATGGTAAGTGGTTGCTGTGACCCATAGACATCCACATCTATCCTCAATAAAGAAACAAAATGCAGAATGCGTTGTCACCCGTGAGGTCTAAGATGGAATGCCTCTTTTCCAGTAAAAAGGGTCTCCGGTTCTCTACACTCACCATACGAAACACAGCAGTGTTAAGTTGCTATATTACGCTGGTATTCTGTGATAGCGTGGTCCTTCCCCGGTCGATTGGTGCTACAACTACACTACTAATATAGTTGCAGCATGGCTCTAACACGTAATGTATGATGCTACGTCTGTAGGAAGAGCATTAAAGTATGTAATGATACTTTAGGTTAGATGAACTGCTGTTGGGTGGTAGAAATCTGCTGTGGTTGCAAACCAGATGGACTTCGAGGCAGTAAAAGAGCTTTCTTCAATGACCCTTTGATTGTTTTTCTTGATCAGTCCTTAAGCCCACCGTTAGACATGGAATTCTTCTTCTTTTGAACCACCGAGCACGTGGTACTTAAAATTACAATAAACAATTGGATTGCTGCCGGCAGGTATCAAACTCGGGTATTTCACGCATTTCGAAATTTACTAGTACGCTGGGCTGTAATTATGATGTTGAAATGACATAATTGCGCATGATTGCCTTGCCCTTAAAAGCAATTTAATATCTTATGCGATGGTTCTTAAGTTTAAACGGTGTTCATTGAAAATGATGTGAGGCAGTTTCTAGTCTCTATACCGCGGGAGTACCGAGAGAGATCAGGTGCAGGAACAAATGCTTTAATTGCTTTCCAAGGCACTGGGGCGAAAAAATTATGCTGACGGGTCCTAAACTTGGTTATTTAGTGTTCTATGAAATTTAAGGCGATAGCTTTTCCTTGAACGATTCACAGAACATTTTGAGGAAACTCGCCTATCTAAGTAAATCAAGAATATTTAATTGTGACGTCTTGTTCGGTTTAATTCCAGATTTCGATTGTTGGTGCTTCACTGAATTACGATTAAGCCATAATACTACATTGTTGCAAGCGGTTTTCCCGGGCTGCTACGACATAGGGACTTTCAAAAAAAGGGCTTCCTACTTTCTCAAAGGCTGGCAACACACCTGCAATTGCAGATGCAGATGTAGATATTTCATAGGTGACGGTGACCACTTAAATCCTGTGAGCCATATGCTCGTTTGCCTTCATTTCCATAAAAAAGTCTATCAATACGCAGAATTGGAGACTCTTTTGTTTCCGTGTTTAATAGTGGGACGTATACAGACTGTTAATTTGTTTTACTTTTAAGTGAGGGATTTTGTTCGCGACGGCCTAACAACTTTAAGAAACAAAATGATGAAAGAATATAGTTTTGTATTAAATGTGAAATTACCAACGAAATCGAGTAAATAGTTTGTTAATACAATTTTACAGCATGTTTATAACACTTAATATATTTGTATAGAATGTCGTTTTGATAATAGTTAATATAGACCACTTTAATTGTATAAGAAAAAATCGACCAATCACAGCGCGTCTTATCGTAGAAATTTCTAGAAGCTTAGATTATTTGAGTAAATGATCTAAGTCTAGAAGGTTTAATTAACTGCGTAATAGTTGAAACTGAAAATAATGATAAGATAATGAATTAGCATAAGTTATATAGATTACGGAAGTGAAGGAATGTTTTGTATAATTAAACGCATTTGGAGGTTATAGAAAAATTAAAGAATTAGTGTACCCATTTATTGTGAAAATTTGGGACATTTCGTTTAATAACTTTTTAAAATGTTAATGTATTGAGTAACTTTTATGATATACTAATAAATGACTAAAATGCCGATTTGATAATGTATAGCATGTTAGTGTAGAAATTAGTCTTGTATAGAAAATATTGCAATTTATGCCAATTGTATAGTGAAAGTTTTATGCACTAAAGAGGCTAAACGGACAATGGCAAGCGGCCCACTATAAAATATAGCCGAAGTCTACCTTATGTGCTCGGAACCCAGCAACGTTGTAGTGTGAAGAACTACCAGTGTGAAGCAATGGTATCCGGTAGCAGCTGAAGTGACTAGTAGCAGTATATAGTGAATAGTGAAAGTGTTAGCTAGCCGAAAAAAGTGGTAACTGAAATTCGCAGTTACACAAGTGATAAAATCAACTAGTTTTAGTTGATTAATAGCTGCTAGTCAGTAGTGTTAGAAAACCAGCTACTACCAATAGATATTTTGATACTACCGAACAATTTAAAGAAATCTTTTGAAATATATAGTAACCAACCGATAGTGAACAACCGTAGTTGAACAACCGTATTCAACAACCGTGGTCAGTAAACAATAGTTATAAAATTTCGCGATTAATCTTGAACCTCAGTCCACAGTTTTCCAGTAGCACCTACAAAGAAGTATCCTCCGGAACCTATAGGTGTAAGACGTGAGCGACTCGCGGTGTATCTTCGACAACATTTACTCCGGAGAGTTTCGCCCATCCGGCACATTTGCTGGTCCTTCGAGCCGGATTCTACATCCGTTTTTATTTCGGAACCGGAAACATAGTCACTGCCGTATTAACTCTTTCAGCGTAGGTGGTTAGTAACGCTAACCACCTCTTTTACCTATGATATTCTAAAAATAACGCCACCTTTTGGTAACTTTATGAATGAATATGACAGATATATCCCTGACCTCTATAAATGACCGTTAGGTGTCAGTTGAATCGATTGTCAGTTACAATTACGAACTTGAGATTTGATGGGTCGCGAGTGGTTTAATTTACGGACATTGCATTATTGGATTAAAAAGGTATGTTTTCGTTATTCTAACCTTATTCTTATTTTAAAATATGTCGAAAGTGTTGCTGTTTACATTTGTCTGTAGATTTGACTATAGTATTATTCGTAGCATTACTAAAATAGTACTTGAATGTGGTGGTTAGTGTGGGTAACCACCGTGTCATAATAGGCCAATAAGTTACATATAATTTGCTAGATATTTACAATTTGGTTTTGTATTTTTTATAGGATGAAGCGCGCATTACAAGAAATTCAAAATATCTTGCAAGAAGATATTCCTTCGGATCCCAAAAGTTGTGTGGAGTTGGATGCAGACTGTGGCTCAGAACCAGACTTTGATCAAGCCCCCGAATTCACCCTTGGTAATGACACTACCGCTGTGCAGACATTCAATGACAACTTTGACTCGGATGATTATATACCTCTGGCTAATTTTATAAGTACCGCTACTACCTCTGCTTCTACTTCTCAACCACGTGATGATATTTCTTCGACATTTCGGCCACCGAAATGGAAAAAAAGCTACGCTATGAAACTGCCTGGTACTTTTTGTGAGATTTCTGGTATTCCTAAACATATTCAAAGCATGGAAAATATAACGCCTCTACAACTTTTTCGCTTGTTTTGGACAGAGGATTTGCTAGAAATAATCAGCTTTCAAACCAACTTATACGCTGCTCAAACTGGTAAAAACTATAAACCGACTACTCCTGAAGAGATTGATGTGATTCTGGCTCTAAATTTGGTTATGGGTATTAAAAAGCTACCAAGCTACAAAGGTTATTGGGCATCTGCACCTGATCTACATGATAGCTATATCTCCTCTTTTATGCCTTTGAACAGATTTGGGTGGCTTTTGAATCATATTCATTTGAACGATAATAGCTTGATTCCTTCTAGACAGAGTCCCAACTTTGATAAATTGTATAAAATTCGTCCTTTGTTGGATATTATTCGAAGAAACTTCCGCGCTAATTATGAGCCTTCAGAAAAAGTTGCAGTAGACGAAAGTATGATAAAATTTAAAGGACGATCTTCTCTGAAGCAGTACATACCAAAAAAATTGATCAAACGGGGCTATAAAGTTTGGATGAAGTGTGCTGAGTCTGGTTACTGTCTCAATTTTCAATTATATACAGGCAAACAAGAATACAATGTATAAAAAGATTTGGGTGCGACAATAGTAAAGCGATTATGTACAAATCTCAGACGGCACCAACCACAACAGGGCACATCTAGGCGCCGCTGCAAGTGCAGTACAAAATCTCAACCAGTACGCACAGTTTGGGAGTGTAGCATGTGTAAAGTTCCTCTTTGCCTACGTAAAGGAAAAACTTGCTTTGCTGATTTTCACAAAAAGTAGTTGAAGTAAGGAAGTAATTCTAAAAATAAAGTTCTTTATTGATCATACATGTTTTATTCTATAGCCACGGTGGTTAGTACTGGTAACCACCTCATTCCTCAAAAGCCTTAAGGCTGAAGCAATTTTTTTTATTATTATATATAATACATGTGGTAGTCCTAACTAATACAGCCATATATATTTTTTGTTTATATTATTCGAAATATAAAAGTGTGGCTCAAAGAGTTAAAGCTGCTGAATTTTTAGAATCAAGATGCCGATCACTCGTTCGCAAGGAAGGGGAGCCAAGGCGTGGACCGTCATTCTGGAAGGAGGTTCGTCGGAAAATGCCACCGCCATCCACCACCAGGTACCGCCACGCTCACCGTGAACAATATAGGGCGTCGAGGCGCAATCTTGCCCCCGCGAAGGGGGTCACTCCTGCCCGTACCGGCTACTAAAACCGGTACAGTGAAGCAGAGGGAACAAATAGAAGGCAACGATGAAACTCGCCGTGCATCATCACCGCCAACCCGGAAAGACACTCGCGCCGAAGAGCCGCCGTGGGGCCACACCGATAGCAGTACGAAGTCAAAGAAGACTATTAGGACCAATAGAAGAATTTTGTAGGCTCGTGAAGAAGTATTGAAGATCAAACTGGAACTCGCAGAGATCTCCTTACAGATGGCTGAAGAAGAAGAAGAAGATTCGGACGACTATGATGAAGGTGGTCACTCCAAAAGTGAGTACGTCCGATCTTCGCTCGAAAATTCCGTAGCCAAACAAAAGCCAACTCAAGGCGCAACCACCGGAGGGGAGGCCCCACAAAATAAAACTGTACCAAAGCCACCCCCGGAGGTTGCCGACCTCAGTGAGCCGCAGAAGAAGCTCACAAACCAGGATCCCTATCCAGAAGACGTACAAAAGGATCCCATGCCACAGAAGATTAGCCAGGACTCCACAGTTGTTGAAGACAGGGGGCTCCTACCAATTGTATCAAAGCTCACATACCAGGATCCCTATCCAGAAGATGTACCTAAGGAACAAATGTCACAGAAGCCTAACCAGGAACCCGTCATAAATAAAGACGGGGGGCTCCGACCATTTATAAAAGAGCTCACATCCGCTATAGCCGCACTCGCTGACAAACCAAAACCAGAGAGTGCGTCACTATCGTCGCATACTTTCGCAGCGTCGAAAGCTATAATGACACTGCCAAGCTTTAGCGGAGCACATATCGAATGGCTTTCATTCCGTGCCATTTACGAAACAACCCGAGGCTACGTCAATAATGTCGAAAACACTGCAAGACTAAGAAGAAGTCTACAAGGAAGAGCCTTGGAAACAGTTAGCTCAGAACTCATCCGGCATCCTAGGCCAGATGAGATTATGCGAGAAATGGAGCTAAATTTGGGCGTCCAGATTCAATCGCGCAAGCAGAAACCGAGAATTTACGAGGATTAGCACGCTGTACAGAAGCACCTGGAGGCATCTGCACATTCGCAAGCAAAGTGAGGAGAAGCGTCGTCACTCTTCGAGCACTCAAACGAGATCATTACCTCGTCAACGCAGAGCTGCTACGACACCTCACAGACAAGCTGCCAAACTCTATACGTGCCCAAAGTTATAGAATCTACACCGAAAATTCAATTCAATTCATTTTATTCATTTGCGATATATGGGTTACAATAGGTCTTAAATAATTTAACAAAATACAGCCATATTCTACCTTCCGGTGTGCAAACTACTTAAATATAAGATTTTATTTATAATTAAAACTAAATGGAAAATTCCGATAATTACATTAACATAATATAACCCTATTTGTATATTTGCACTACTAACATAATAATAATTCACAAAATAATGATAAAATACATGTAATAATTAAAATTGTAATGTCAAAATAATAATGTCAAAACGAGTATAAATTATTGTTTCAAAATTAATAACATAGATAACGTTTCGTTCAATAAATTTGATAGATAAAATTTAAAAATTGTCATATAAATAATCGTCAATATTATAATACGCTTTTTTGGTTAAAAATGTGTTTAGTTGTTTCTTAAAAATGTGAAGGCTCTTAGAATCTCTTATATATTTAGGTAAATGGTTATACAGACGAGGACCCATACAGAATACGCTTTTTTGAAACAAAACAGTCTTACTATTGGGATGGCTCAATTTATCTTTATGACGCTGGACATTTAGTTTTTCGTAAAAACTTAAGTTTTGACGTATAAATAAGACTACCTCATATATATATATAGACATGGCATTGTTAATAATTTTAAATTAATGAAGTATGGCTTACAGCTCTCACTTTGGTTAATTTTACAAATGGCTCGTAAGCATCTTTTTTGAGCTTTAAATACTGTTTCTTTGTCCGTACAATTACCCCAGAACATAATACCATATCTAAGTGTAGACATAACATAAGCATGATATGATGCCATTACGGCGGATGTGTTTACAACTTTTCCAAGCATATATAACGCATACGAAAAACGATTTAATTTCATACACACACTGCTCACATGAGACTGCCAGTTCAAATTGCAATCTACATTTATACCCAAAAATTTTATATTGTCTATGGTATTGATTTTTTGTCCTAGATAATTGATATTTAAATTATTTATTTTATTGCGTTTTTGATAGAATGTCATAAGTTTTGTTTTTTCTAAATTTACATTTAAATTATTTATGTTTAGCCAATTCATGATTTTCTCTAAAGCAAAGTGTATGTTACTTTCTAAATCTATTTTGTTTTTGCTAGTGAAAATAACTGTGCTGTCGTCAGCAAATAATACTATTTTGTGATTAATGACGTTGGGAAGGTCGTTGATATAAATAAGAAATAACAATGGTCCTAAAACACTTCCTTGCGGTACTCCAGTTTGTACGACTCTGTATTCAGAAACATAGGTTATTTCTTTTCTTGATTTTACACAAATTTTCGTAATGTGTGTACTTTGTTTTCTGTTAACTAAATATGATGTTAGTAGATCTAGTGCATTACCTCGAATACCGTAGGCTTCAAGCTTTTTGAGTAATATTTTATGATCAACATAATCAAATGCTTTAGTAAGATCCATGTAAAGTGCACATACAGGTATTTTATTATTTAGGCTAGACATAACGGTATTAAAAAAATTGTATAGAGCCATATTTATAGTCTTATTTTTTCTAAATCCTATTTGTTCTTCTCTAAGAATATTGTACGTTTCAAGGTAGTTATATAAAGAGTTATAAATTATTTTCTCAAATAATTTTGAGAGCACAGGTATAAGTGCAATAGGCCTATAGTTAGACATATTCTCCCGATCATTTTTTTTGAACAGTGGTATGACAATGGTAGACTTTAGTCTTTCTGGAAATATACCATTACAAATACATAAATTGAAAATATAACTAAGTACCGGAGCAATTGCACCGGATACGTATTTTAAAACTCTTGTACAAATTTCATCACAACCAGTACTGTTTGTATTTTTAAGAGATTTTATAGCTTTATCTATATCAAATGATGTTGTGGGTGGTATAAATATTGAATTGGGATTGTTGAAAGTTAACTTATATGGTTTATCACTATTTGGACGGTCTTTATTAATTTTGTTGGTATAGAAATTATTAAATGCCCTAGCTATAGCTAGCGGATCCTCAATTATATCACCATCAACAATAATTTTACTAATTGCTTCTTCATTTGTGCTATTTTTGTATTTATTTATCACTTGCCAGGTAGCTTTAGATTTATTTTGTGCTGTGTTAATATAGTAATTATTTTGGGACTTTTGGGTAAGTTTGATAATTTTGTTTAGACGTTGGGAATACTCTTTTAATATAGTTTTATTTTCTACGCTGCGTTTTTTTCTGTATTGCCATAATAACTGTCGTTTATGCTTAGTACATTTTTTTATCCCATTAGATAACCATTTTGTTTGTTTACGTGAATAGACTTTAATTTTAATGTCAGGAAAGCATAGGCGATAGAGGAGGGTAAACAAGTCATGAAATTGGTCAAAAGCAAGATTAGGATTTTTTTCCTTATAAACCTCGTTGAAAGTGAGAGAGCCCAAATAATTGTTAAATTTGTGAAGATTTTCTACATTATAATCGCGTCTTCTTATATGCCAGTAATTAAGATAGTAGCTTTGCTTGACTGGGCATGTCAACAGTTGTGCCGTATGATCTGACAAAGCTAAGTCATAAGTATTGCTCTTACACCCTTGAATATTGTGAAAAATATTGTCGATACATGTACCACTAATTAGTCGTGTAGGTACTTTTATAGCTGCTTTTAGATTATAGCTTGTTATTAGTTGTATAAAATTTTTAGAAATTTTGGTTGCATCTATTATATTTATATTAAAATCTCCACAAATTATAATTTTATTTTTATTATTATTACAGTATTTTTTTAATATTAAGTCAAAATTATACAAAAAATTATTGAAATCTTCATTTCTATTTTTTGGAGGTCTATAGGTACATATTATTTTAAGTTTATGCTCTATAAGTTCAACTGCACAACACTCGATTATGTTCGTTTTACTAAGTTGTGCTATTTCAGGAAGAGTTTTATATTTATGACATTTCTTAACTAGTATGCAGGAGCCTCCATGACGATTTTCTCGAACATGGTACGATGCAAGAGTATAATTATCTAATTTGAATAAATTCGTATCATTGTAAGTCATATTATGTTCAGTTATGCATAGAACATCAGCCGAGTGCCCATCTAATTCGAGGTTATTTAAATTAACAGTTAGGAGGTCAGATTTAGCAATTAATCCATTAATATTTTGATGTAATAT